TATGAACCGAAAATACCAAAAACAAGATAATCTCGAACTTGTATCAATGAATGGCTTGAACAGGATAACGTTGTCCTCAAACAATATTTTCCCATTTTCCTATGAATTTGAGATGCTTCGAAAATTGTTGGCAAATGGTTTGCAGGATTATAACAAGTCTTGCAAGGATTTAAACACCAAAGCACAAATGCAAAATCCTAGAAAACTTAAAGAATACAAAGAATGAATTTGAATATGGCTTTTAAAGACTTTGATCTTTGATTTTGGAAGTAATATGGAACATTGATTTTTGTTTGTAATGTGTTTGCTTTCAACATGGATCCAATATATATAGGCATATATCACATTCACGAAATGGTACCAAATTTTAAGCCAAAAGTCGCCAATTTTGAATTTATAACGGGAGAAAACGGCTTTCAAAATGGCCAAATAATTGCACCATGCGACCGCATGGTACAAACCCATGCGGTCTCATGGTTTGCCCATGCCGAGACCATTTGGTCTCAGTATTAGGCCATGCGATGCGGTCGCATGGACCAAATTATTGTTTTTTTTTTATATTTTCTTTTATTGTTGTTTATTTTGAACAACAAATCACAGCAGCCACGATTAGTGAAACCCAACAAAAACAACTGACCACCAAGAAGAAGGTGGGACCAGTGAAGACAAAAACCACAGCTAAGAAAAAGAAACCAGCATCGCATGGACCAAATTATTTTTTTTTTTATATTTTTTTTATTGTTGTTGTTTATTTTGAACAACAAATCACAGCAGCCACGACCAGCGAAACCCAACAAAAACAACTGACGACCAAGAAGAAGGCGGGACCAGTGAAGACAAAAACCACAGCTAAGAAAAAGAAACCACCCAGCAACAGAAATCGAACTTGGTCCAAAACAACTCTTGAACAAGATAAGTCCAAGAAAAACACAGAAGTACCCACCTTGAAGCAGACGAGTACAGGACCACAAACAAGCTGTAGCTGAAAACCAAACAACAAGCAGAAACTCGAATCTGGACCTAGGTAATGGAAGATCAAGAAAACCAAGAAACCAACCAGAATAATTTCAAAACAATGCAAGCCTGGACCTGAATTTCAGGCCAAAACGAAACCTGAGCAGAGGATGAAAACAGTTGGCACTTACAATCTTCAATAAAAAAAACCCATCTGAAAATGAACTTCAAGGAACCAAATAAGATAAGAAACCAGAAAATGCAATATGTTTAAATCAATTTTCAGCAGGAGGAACTAAAAATTGAATCAAACACAAGAAAGATCACAAGAGAACCAAGGCACTCTAATGGGATTTTCTCTCACTAGAATTGAGAGCATCTCTCTCTAACCTTTTACTTTGAGGTTTCTTGAAGAAGCAACAATTTGATCGGAAGGACATTAGTTCCCTATAGTACCGACATTTTGCACCTACCATTACAGACACAGGTACGCTCTACCTTCTTCATATGAATAAAAATAAGGGTAATTGTTGGAGACCATCTTTTGGAAGTTGAGTGATTAACTGAGGTGGGAATAATGAGATTTAAACATTTATGCGAATGTTAAAGTATGAAATTCAGACATACTTATTTGTACCATTTTAAATAGTCTTTATGGTCCGATTATATGACATAGAGCATGCCCATCCTGAAGTTTGTGGAAGAGAAGGGAGAGAGATGAAGAGGATGGGAATGAGACAAGAAGATAGGCACTCTAGTTAGTTCGTGAGCTGTATATTAAGGAATATTAATGTCGAGAAACACGTGTGTTTCACCTCAAGCTATTTTAATTTTTGAGTTCAAGGTAATGGACACAATTGTTAGCCTAACTGCTACTGTGGATCTCCTTCGTTCAATACAATTATGATTAAGTTCTTACTCACTGAAAGGGAAAGAACTATGATTCACTGCTTCGACAATTCTCAAAATAAGCTTTGTATTATTGTGATCAAAATAACATTCCGTGTTACTGCTGAATGTATGCATTGCATTATTGTGATCAAAATTTATAATTAGTGTTGAAGTTTAAGCTATTGAATTCTTGTTTTAGTGAATGAACTTCTATGCTGGTTCAAGTGTATGTTATTCAAAATCCCTTACGTTGGGGCAGCCTTGACATTATAGTCGTTTTCTGAAGTTTGATATTGTTAGTATCATTGACTGTCTAGTGATAGCAAAAAAATCTGTCCCGCCCCGAATGGGTTGGAGGGGTTCCGTTGTGGCCCCGCCCCATGAAGGGGAAACAAAAAATTAAAAATAATTTTATTTCTAGATAATTTACCCGTTAAAAATTCTTTTTGAATTTGTATTTTATTCTCTATTAATAACATAACTCGAAATTTTGAAAATGTGAAAAAATAAAATAAAAAATGAATGGGGCAAAAAGTTTCCCCGTCCCGCCCCGTTGCCATCCCTATGACTGCCAATTGAATTTACATCAATATTTTTTCGGAATCAGCTATAATTAATAGAATAAGAATTTTTAATGCTCTTGACGCTAAAAATTCGTAAACGCCATTTCTATTCTTACAGTAAATTACCAACAAATTTAAAACTTGGATTACTAGAAACTGCTCGTTTTTGTGGGGAACATTTACACATTTGGTAGGATTCACAATTTATAATCTAGTGAAAATTTTGTCGAACATGAATAGAATATATGTTACTTAAGTTTGATGCGGTATAGCTGAAAAAATATAAAATTTTGGAGAAAAAAAATTAGTTTTCAATATATCTTAATGTTAACTTGTGATATGAGACAAAATACAATTTTTGAAAAGGATTTTGTACTCTTATTTTACTAACTAAGATCCTATTTAGTTTAGATAAAAGTCAGATTTTAAATATATTTTTATAGAATAAAACTGTTTGTACAGATAAAAATTACGAAAAAAGCATTATAGATGATGAGGTGGCAATAATGCATTAAAAGGTTTAACTTTGTTTTGTGTCCAACATTCAGCCCTTGTTTGATTTCTATTATTTTTAAAATGCATTTTTTTCTATCTTCTTTTTAAGCACACATATTTCAATAAAATAATATTATACGTAAATTTAAAAAAAAATTCTTATTTTTTAACTAAACAGTTTCTATCAATTTACTATTCCAAAATGCATTCTTAGCAAGCACTCAATGAATGATTGCAAGCTTTCTCATTTTTATAAAAGTTAACGGAATGTATGGTTAAAAATTTGGGAGTCTCATAAAATATGTGAGTAAAATTAATTGTTGATTTTATTTAGATTTTACTCTTTTTACTGAATCAAACGGGCTTGATATCGTTTTGGCGACACATGATCTAAACCGAGAGGGATGAGTAAGGCCTTGGGCAAGGCCCTCTATTACTTGAAGTCAGGCGAATGGAGAGAAAATATGAGGTGCAGTGATTTTTGGTGTGAACGAGAACACGTCAGGGGTGTGAGGAGCTTGATGTAATTTGGTCTTCTCACACGCCAATCATTTCTTTTTTTTTTTTTTAGTCCGATCTTAAATTCTCTCTTGTCGATAACCTCTTTAAACACAAAGTTTCGTAGAGGGTAAAATGTAATGTGTCGTAGGTTAATTTAATAACACAGACACTAATTCTTGTCTAATTGCAATCACATTGTCAATTTTCGAATTACTAAATATATGGTTGCTGAAATTGTGCTTTTTGAAGCCGTAAAATATAATGCATGGTGGATTCATTGAATATCACAAAAACATATTCTTGTCTACTTGACAATAACATCGTTATTTTCGAATTACTAAATATATGGATACTAAAAATGTTCTTTTCGAAGTTGTAAAATGTAATGCATCATGGATTGATTGAATAACACAACGCGGATTCATTGTATATTACAAAAACATATTCTTGTCTACTTGACAATCACTCCGTTATTTTTCAAATTACTAAATATATGGATACTAAAATTGTTCTTTTCGAAGTTGTAAAATTTAATGCATCATGGATTTCGATTGAATAACACATCGCGGATTCTTGTCTACTTGCAATCGTACCGTTATTTTTCGAATTATTAAATTTAGGATTGTTAAAATTTTGCATTTTGAAGTCGTGATATGTAATGCATGGTGGATTCATTGAATAACACAAACACAAATTCTTGTCTACTTGGAATCATACGATATTTTTCAAATTACTAAATATTTGGTCACTAAAATTGAGCTTTTCTACTTCAAAACGTGGCTTTATGATATGCACATTCCCGTTCGAAATTGTACATTGAACTCGTAAAATGATAATGCAGTAATTATGTTTTGACTCCTTGAATTTGGATATTTTATTGAGAATCTTTCAACATTTGTTTACCACACAAATTTTATCTTTCAAACTTATAGAACACACAACATATGCATGGACTGAAAGAGATGGATTCTTGCCCCTCATGGGGGTGATCGAGTTGGTGGAGTAAGTGAGCACGGTGGCCTTTGGTTACGACTTCGATTCCCTCTATCAACACTTTTTCGGTTGAGCCCATCGTACAGGATTTGCCTAGTACCGTTTACCTGACTGACGTAATTTGCAGGTTATTGCGTCAGTCCAAGGGTTTCTCCAGTGCGCACACGAATGGTAGCACTACGGATTCCCCCATCATAAAAAAAAAAAAAAAAAAGAGAGAGAGATGGATTCTTGATTTATGAAAATATGAACAATTTTATATTCTTGGATATACTTGTGACATGATTTTGTAACAACAATACAACGTCCACACAAGAAAGTGAAAAGTAATGTAATTTAGTAATTTACACGCACAAAAAATAATAATAATAATAATAATAAAATTAAGGGCTTTTCTGCAAATTGTAAGAAGAAAAGAAAATAATAATAAAAGGAAAAAGAAATGAAGTGAGGAACACTTTTGTCCCCACTGACAAGCTTGATATTTTTCTAAACTACGGTTTGCACTTCCTTCTTCGAACTTCAATCGGTAGTCCTCCTTTAGGCACGAGAAATGGTCCGTATTCAATACCATCCTCGTCTCCGATCACTTTCCATCTGAATCACACACAATATCAATATCGACAATTAGTAGTTATTTAAACAAAATATACATACTACATAAAAAATCTATAAATAAGCGAAATCGTCACATCATATTACAACCCAACTTCAAGAAATAAACAACATACATGCATTTTTTAAGATAACTGTCACGACAACCACATTGGATTTAATCTTCCAATTAACGAATATAAATTATGAAATATTTTAGGGTTTATAAAGTTTAGGTGCATCATTTGATTACTTTGACTTTTATATTCAGACAAAGATTGTAAAATCAATAATTGTGGCTACCGTATGATTCATTGGTAGCCTCACATGTCTAATTCACTACAAGCTCCAAACTGCCATTGCTGAATCTGTGTACAATTTTCATCAACTTCCAAATTCCTCTTGAATCCGAGGACCACTTCCTACGCCTAAGGAACAACCGGTCCACAACTAGAATTTGAGATTTGATTTTGATATTGGGAAATTTGGTGGCCATTTTTGTCGGAAAAAGTGAAAATTCTTGTAGTATCAGTGGAGATCGAGAGTACCTATAAGTGGTAGTGAAGTGGTGAAGGAAAATGAGCATCTCAAGTTTAGCAAGCTCACTGCCGGGGCAAGAATGCAGTCCATTACCAAATGGCATGTAAGTGTGAGGTCTTGGTGTCACCTGCATAATCACAAAAACACATAGTACATCTTTCTAGTATTGGCCTACAAAAATAGTTCACGTGATGGATCTGACAATTGAAAGATTTCGATTTGTTTACCAGATTGCCTAAATTGAAGGAAGATTCAATAGTGTCCGGAAAAGACAGTTTTAAGATAATAAAACCATTGACAACCTTATATTTGTGTCAAGATAGGATAGACAGAAAATGTTGCGCTCCATGTTAACTATACCTCAAATCTTGAAGGATCGAACTTTTCGGGTTGAGGGAAGAAATCAGCAGAATGATGAATGGTTCTGAATAGAGGAAGAACCTTCCAACCTTTAGGGATTATGTAACCTTCAAATTCGACATCTTCAACTGCTTCTCTGAACGTAAACGACAGAATGCTCGCTATTCTTAATGTTTCTTGGATAACCTGCAGATGATCGATTTACATTTGATTACTCAAGAACATTTGAATTTAAACCACGATAAAAAAAAAAATAATAATAATAATGTACATACCCTACTAGTCAGATTCATTTGTCTCGTGTCATCCCATGTAAGCCCCCGATTTTCTTCAACTAATTTGCGTTGGATTCCTTCTTGCTCCGTCTGTAACGTAGTAGTTATGAAAAGGGTCGTCTAGAGACTTCTCAATATAAAAAATTTCATCGTTAGAAGTGAAATTTGTGCTAGTACCGTGACAGATTGTAAGACATGAGGATTATCGATCAAATTCTTGAGAAGCCAGGTTAGAACAGTTGCAGTAGTATCATGAGCAGCAAATATTACACCAATTATATTATCAGAAATTTGAGAATCACTTAAATTATTCAACTTTTGCTCTTGAGCGCTCATTAAAAACCCCAACAGCCCTCCATCATTATGTGATTTCCTATTTCCTCTTCTCTTCTCAATCAATCTCCTCAAGGCCTCGTTCAATTGCTTCCTTGCCTACACTTGAATTTTCATGTTTAGTGTACAGTATTCGACAAGATTTGACGGGGTGATAAGCGAGATTTTTGGTAGTTGTAAAATTGACTGACTTAGCAAATATCGAAAATATAAAATATTCAAATATTCAAATGGCACACAACAGATATACGTGTGCAAACTGTGTAGTTGAAGACAAAAACCTAGTGATGTTTGTTCAAATTGACGTGGTGGGTTTTGAGTGCTACTAAGAATAATACGTAAATCACGAGAGATCCACACCATCGGAGAGAGATGCTAATCTTTGTACCTTCATTGCTTTGTTGAATAGAGTCCCTGGAAAATTCATAGGCATTGAATTGTAACCTTTCTCCAAGATTTGATACAAATGTTTGATTCCTTCCATTTCTGGTTCAAGGTTGTTCCCAAAGGCCGATATCATTGCCACTTCGAAAGCATACTGCATAAATAAATAAATAAATATATAAATATACATGACTTCTATCCAAGAGTTCGACTGCCATTCGTGCACGTGTTAGACCTCTAATACAAAAAATGAACTGGGTTGTGAACACAAGATTTAAGTGAGTACATTTAACTCGCCTGTCTATCTCTTAGCTTAAACTTTTAGACGAAATGTTCACCTGATTCTAATACGTACCTTCTTCATCTCTTGTAAAGTGCAAATAAGGGCATGGTTTTCCCAGGTGGGGAGAAAGTTGAGAACAATTTCTTCAATTGCTGATACTGATCCTTTAACAACAGAGGGAGCGAAAGAAGATTGAATCAACTTCTTGAGTTTTAAATGATAATCCCCTTGATGAAAGAATATGGCTTGTGGCCCTATCATCTTCTCTTTACTTGGTGGATACGTAGGCTTAAACAGATGAGCTTGATTCACCAGAACGTTTTTCGCAGCTTCTGGGCTCGAAATCATCACACAAGGACATCCCAATATGTGGCTCTTGAATATGTCCCCATACCTTTTCCTCCTTGTGAAAAAGAAGGTATTAGGATGTTCGGTGTAGAGTTTTAGAGTTTCGCCTATGTAAGGCCATCCCATGGAACCCGGTGGGAGGCGGCGTTTGTCTACTTGATGACACCATTGTTGCAGTACAAAGAAAAAAAGTAGAAGCAGAAGCAGAAGCGAAAAAACCGAGATTAGGATAGTAGATATGGTGAGAAAAGGTTGTTCAAAGGCAGGCAGTGAAGAGAGGTGGAGAGATTGCATGGTGGAGGTGGCACAACCTAATTTAGACAGGTATAAAATGCGAAGTGAAGGAGCTGAACAACAATGAAGAGATTTATATAGTCGTGTCGAGTCTATCGGCGGCCCGGAAAATTATCCGCTCGGATGGTCAATTCTTGGTGATTTGGCATGCAATTCTATTACTATCAACCACGTGTATAATTTTAAGTTACGAACGTGTTTGGTTAATCTTAAAATAAGAAATAAAATTATTTTGCGAAGAGTAAATGAAGAATTACTTATTGATTTAAAGTTAGGACAGCCTAGGCTGGTTCTTGTGGGCTATATTTGTGGTCTGGTTTGTTTACCAACTAAAATATGGCCACGTTGGCCAGATCTTTAATAAAATAATTATTTTTCGAAAAAGAGAAAAACTTGTTGGTCCAAGTCTATTGGTACAACTTAAAGCGCATGTAACAATTTATATCTTCTAGAAATAAAAATAAGTGGGTTTGTATGTGTTTAAATTGACACACTTATGACTTCCTAAAAAAGGAAAGAAATAAGGTTTAAGATACATGTCTTTGGAACGAGGAAGTGAAACTTGATAAGAGAACAAGCTTTATACGTAGTTGCGTTGCTATGTACAATTCACCTATTTGAGAATTGAGCTACGTGCATCTTATAAATGAAAAGTGGAACTTGATTAAATAGCACTCTCGATATGCATTTCTAAAACAATTTATCCGGATTTGATGATCTAGAACCAACCACATACTTACAAAAAAGATCAAGTCATTTTCTTTAGTTGCTCCAGTATCAGAGAAATTTGAATGAATAAGGCTACTTTGCAAGAAAGTATATAATATAGTGGTTGACATAATAGGTGTTGACAAGATGTGATTGGTTAAAAAAGTTTTATATAGTCCAATAACAAGCTGTCACGTGACATTATGTCAAAAATTATATCAACCATTATATCTATGTAGCATGATTGAATCCGAACATACTTCATATTTTGTGGAGGAAGTGCTAGTTACCTAAACAATAACCATATTTCGAACTTTTAGGAAGAAATATTCATCTACAAATCAAATGTTAAAGTCTAGGAATCAAGCTATATGACATTCGTCTTTAATAACTAGATAGCTAATCGGATGATTTTGAGCATAAAATGCACTCACAAGTATTTACCGTGTTTAAATTTTACTTTTGTATTACTTATCTGTATTCTATTCATGAAATCCATTATACATCATGTTTAGAAAGATTTTGAACAAGATGTTTTCAAATATTCTTTGGCAGTATTGCACGTTAAGATGTGCGAAAAATAAGATTATAGACACCTCCAAATTTTAATAAAAATTTCAAGATTTTATCTCCTTGGTTGGGCTTATCAATAAATTGTTCCACTCTCTCAGCAAGAAATGCGCCCGGCCCCAACACCCATTTGGTTAAAAATTGTCAGTGAAATTCCGATAGCTTTGCTTCTGTACAAACATATATATTCTAGAGTTTTGCTAGATATACAATGTTTTGTACAATCTAGTTGACAATGTGGTCAAATGGCAGCCCCCTATTGGAGGGGCGGCTGTCTCCAATAGGGGGCCGCTACTTGACCCCATTGTCAATTAGATTGTACAAAACATTGTACAAATAGAATTATTCTATATTCTAGGTTAAATTGCCCTCAACATGCTGCTCTATGTCCTTGGTCCACGTAGTTTTTCGCCACTTCAAACTATATTATTCACAAATTATTCTTCTACAAATCTCATTGGTCGGAGCTAACAGTATTTAATCTATAATATATTAAAATATCACATTAAAGAAAAATCATTTTTTGGACGATTTTTATCCCCTAAAATTCAATTATTGCAATATGACCTTTTCGTTTTTCGATATATAATAAATACTACAAAATTATTGTCATTTATGAAATTTGCATTATTAATGCTCAATTCAATAACATTCACATTAATCTTGATTTAATGAATTTTCGCTTGATAAATCTTGAATTACATGAATTTAGAGTTATTATAGATGAATTTATTCATACTCATGTATCTAGAAATTTTAATGGGTATTTAAATTTATGTATTAACAATTAATTTTTATGTATCAAATGTAATATAAAAAAATTGCTCATTTATAGAATTTCATTATTACAAAAAATTTGAATCATAGAAATTGAGTTTTGAGAGTATAATTTTCTTATCTTAAATTTCTATGCTAAATTTTAGTTTCTTTAATTCGTCTGAGACCTATCAAATCCTTCAAGAAATTGGTATCAAAATTACTTTTACATCACTTATAAAATATTTTAGAATAATATGCAGTGCATGTCTAACTTTGACTAATATTTTAAAAGGATGCTATTAACAAACGTTGAAAAAATTTAAAATTGTAATTTTGATTCGGATCGATGAAGGGAACTTGCATATTGGATCATTGAATTTAAAATAGTATTCTTAATAACAAATTAACCATTGTAATTAACTAAAATAACACAATAAAATCAAAACGTTGCAATTACTTTATAAACGTGTACAATTGATTATTGAAAAGCAAAGCCAAATGAAATCAAAATAATTGGAAAACATTGAAACAAAATCCAAAATAAAATTGTACTTTAATGTGAGTTTATTTTAAAATGAAAAATTATACCTGTATTTAATTTTTATATGAACTAATCACCATGGTTATCTACATAAATTACACAATCATAAATCTTATAAACAAAATCTCAATATTATGAGCACAAAATACATATAGATTAAAAGGTAAAATGTAGAAAGAAAAAGGGTTTAAAGAATATCATGAACGAAGTCACTCTTGTTATCCACGAGAGGCAACATAGTAACGGAGGATTACATATTTCAGATTACAGATTCTAACATTTGTCGTTTTACAGTTTTTATTTTTATTTGTGCTTTAATTGAAAATAGGAGGAGGGTCATATTGTCCATCAACTAAACCTACTTAATTCATTAAAATAAAGCTAAAACATAATTGCATTATGAATATTGGAAGATTATTAAGATCACTAAGATCATTAGGATCCACAAACGACATTATAGTGATCATTCAATTTTAACATCCTATATGTAAATTAGATTTTATTTTCTTTTAAATCACTTTGATATCGTAGAACCTGAAGATTATAAAATTCAAATCAAGAATTTAACAATCATACTCATAGCTTTTAATAATTAATCTCGGAATTGGAAAAAAAGAGGGGACATGAAGAGAAGACATTACAAATCTCCATCATTGTCCTAGAACTCGAATCCAACGAAATAGATTAGACTTCTTATTTACTCTTCCATATAATGCTATTATGGACTTCCATATTTTGGATAAAATAGTTGTCAAATTTTCGTGTTAGGGACCAACTGACTTATCTTCCAGCCATGCACAGTTCAGATCTCAAAGAATAGCATTCTATTAATAATAATAATAATTGTGTATTTTTGACAATATATATATATATATATATATATATATACACATATTAATTTATTTATTTATTATTATTATTATTATTTTTTCGTATTATGACAGAGACTTAACTGCAGTTGAAGATTCTGGTTCCTACATTTTATAATTGAATTCAAAGATAGTTTGCAGTTTGCTGCTAGGATATTTATGGGGTATAAATCTAGAGGACAGATGTCAATAGAAGAATTGGCACAGTCCCCAAATTTATTGGTCGGAGAGTGCATCAAATTAAATCCTACCAACCAACGAACAAATATGGAAATTTGCTTTGACATTTTGGGTTTTTGTTTTCAAAGATATTGTTTTACATGTGAAGTTGGGTTGGCGCAGACCAAGGATTTCGGTTAAATGCATTGCTGGTCATGTTATCCAATTTTATGTGAAATTGATAACTTCATTTACGATTGTCGGTACAATTAATGGATGATCAATATAATGTCATATCGGTAAACATCACCCTTCATTTCAAACACATTTTTTAAGTGGAAGAGTTCAAAAATGTTTTGAACTCATTTAGCACATCTTTTTTTCCCCCTAAGTTGCAGATGAAATTAGAGAAAATCCCCCCAAAGGTCACTAAACTTTGCCAAAATGTCCTGAGAGGTCACCGAACTTCAAAAAATCCCTAAACAGTCAATGAACTTTGCCGAAATCCCCTCAGAAGTCACCAAACTTCAGAAAATCCCTAAATGGTCACTAAACTTTGCAAGAGTTCCCTAGGAAGTCACTCAACTTTGCAAATTTAGGGTCCCATACATCATTAGTTGAGTGACCTCCTAAGGACCTCTTGCAAAGTTCAGTGACCATTTAGAGACTTTCTGAAGATCGGTGATTTTTGGGGAGACTTCAGCAAAGTTCAGTGACTGTTTAGAGACTCTTTGAAGTTCGGTGACCTCCTAGGGCATTTTGGCAAAGTTCGGTGACCTTTGGGGGGGATTTCATCGATGAAATTATGATGGCAACGTTTATTAGTAGAGAAAGAGCATTATGCTTTTCAAAATAGAGCCAATTGTTAGTATTAACAACGTGTAGGTTGACATGTTACTTTAGTTAGAGGATAACATTGGATCGAGTGGCTAATTTGCAAGTAAATCAGAGTTGGATGGATGACATGATTGAATCAAATTGAAGATTATTGACATTAATGCAACTCCACTCGATTTCCAGAAAGACACTGCCTTGATATTGTCCCCGTCCGATAATTGAAACTTGAAGTATATGTTATACTAAATAATAGAGGCAAAGCAAAACATTCTATTCGATAATATTGATATTTGTTTTGTGATCTATATAAAATTCGCCATTTTTCCCCCTCAAAGAGAAAAGTATTCTGGATTCTCGAGCACATGCTTGTATCTCATCTAAATCACGTAAAAAAAATATCTCAAGTTTAAAATGAATTGGTTGATGATTGGAGAAGTTCAGACAAGAAAATGTCATGGAAAACGTCATAAACATGAATTTCCGTACCACTTGTTCAAACTAAAGTCTTGAAGTTTGGTATTTCTTGTTATGCATTTTCAATGTTTAATTTATAGAGATGGACTTTATCATGCTCATTCGATCCTTCTTATAATATCTTAATACCTTTTCTTATGGATCATTCTAGTACTTTTAGACCTAAACTTC